CATGTAAACGACCATTGAACAAAAGAAGAAGAAAGAAACAGCATGGCGCGCTTTTTCTTAGCGTCCGTTTCCATAGCGACTCGTCAATTTGTCTCTCTGTTGAGAATGTCTTGAGTCTTAACCAGGAACATACTCTGAGTTGAATTAACTTACTCCCGGACGCGTTTTTGGAACCACATACCTCGAGTAAGCACCCCCAGGGGTGTATTCCAGAAAGCACGGTTAACTTACCGTCAGCTAAACCCTGAACTTTCCAAGAGGGTCTGGCTGCAGCCTTGCAGTTGCATTCTCAGACTTGCACTCTCGGACACTTGCGCTTCCACTACGTCACTTGCAGTCTTTATTTTTTATTTTGTTCTATTTATTGATTACTTTTTGTTTGAATCTCTCAACATTTTACAACAGTAGTCAGGTGGTGAAGACAAGAAGAAAGGAACTAAATTATGGTCACTTGCACTCTCCGATACCTGCAACGTCACTTGCAATCGACACAAATGGTGCGTGTTGCTAATGGAGACAAGACGCTGTGGTGGTGATTAAAGATTCAAACTAATTTAGTACTATAACATACAGGGTCCTGCAAGAAAAAGACAAGCCCTGCAAATCCGTGACCAGAACAGCAGAATATGAACGCAGTGCACAAAGTCTCTCACTAAGCGTTTTCCTATAACAGAATGAGAAAACAGAAACGTTTTCCGTATATACTTTGAGTCAACAACAAGACATATGGGCTATTGAATTGTCTTTATCATCCGTTATTATGCCACATTAAGCGTTTTGCTGTATGGGAGGACAAGTGAAAGTTTGCGCATTGTGTTCATAGCCATCTGTTTGCCTTGTAGTACATTAAATAATAACTATATATCGAATTTTATCTTTTAATTGAACTTAATGTATCTTAATACATTAAGCCATGTTAAGTGTTTATGTTTTTCTACAGGAGGAAAACACTTAACGAGACTTTGTGCATTGCGTTCATATTCTGCTGATCTGGTCACGAATTTGCGGGTCTTGTCTTTTTCTTGCAGGACCCTGTACGTTATAGTATAAATTAGTTGTTATCGTTTAATCACCACAGTGTCTTGTCTCCATTGGCAACACGCAAGATTTGTGTCGATTGCAAGTGACGTCGCAGGTATAGCGGCGATTGCAAGTGACAGTGTAATTTAGTTTATTTTTTCTTGTCTTCACCACCTGACTACTGTTGTAAAATGTTGAGACATTCAAACAAAATCAATAAATAGAACAAAATAAAAAATAAAAGACTGCAAGTGACGTCGCTAGCGGAAGCGCAAGTGTCTGAGAGTGCAAGTACAAGGCTGCAGCTAGACCCTTCTCCAACTTTAGGTTGATTAACCCCAAACCTTGCTTACTCAAGGTATGTGGTTCCAAAAACGCGTCCGGGAGTAAGTTCATTCAACTCAGAGTATGTTCCTGGTTAAGACTCAAGACATTCTCAACAGAGAGACAAATTGACGAGTCGCTATGGAAACGGACGCTAAGAAAAAGCGCGCCATGCTGTTTCTTTCTTCTTCTTTTGTTCAATGGTCGTTTACATGCTTAGTGCATATCGCTACCTAATTTATGGCTGTGCAGTCATTTTTATTTTTTTCTCCCGTTTCTTTAATCCTTGAGAATATGAATAATATTGCTTGTTTGATGCTAATTATATATTAAGTCAAATCAGATATGTATTTTGATTTAGAATTTAGACATTATAGAAAATGCCGATCCATGTGATGATAATATAAAATGTAATAAATAAATATATATAATAAATTAAACATTACCTTGTCATAGTGTTTTATAATTTATACAGATAACTGTTATATATGCCAATAAAATAAATATAATAACCATATTAGAATAATATATTATCTTATTACTTATATTAGCGCTTCATCATATGTATATATATATATATAATAGGCTATATTCAGTTTTGGGGGTAACGCATTACAAGTAACGCGAGTTACGTAATCAGATTACTTTTTTCAAGTAACTAGTAAAGTAACGCATTACTTTTTAATTTACAAGAAAATATCTGAGTTACTTTTTCAAATGAGTAATGCCAGTTACTTTTCCCCATTTATTGATTGAAAGCTCTCCTGTCTCCTTGTTGAGAGAAATTGAGAGTAAGCTGTTACTTTAGTTCTAGAATAAATGTGAACATGCATTAATTCATCTCACTCACTCACAAAAAAATCTGATTTAGTTTTCCTCAAAATGAATAAAAACAGTTAAAAGCAACTCAGAATATGCTCAAAGCTGCAATAATTAAATATGTTAAATAATACAAATATCCTTTATGTATTTAATCCCGTTTTATTAACCAATTTACTGCTGACCTTCGGTGATCCAATTCATCCATAATAATAAGCAAAAATTAACATTTCTTCTTTTTTTATTGCTGAAGAGTGTTGGACTTTCTTCTTCTGTGTATACTGTACAGACGTGAATTTACATTTCCTTCAGCCTGAGGCTTTTGGTGTGAAAGGGCTTTTACATTTGCCAAAAATAGAACTTTTTATATTAAAAGCAAACAAGCAAGCCCAGCCCAGATTTAAAAAGTAACGCATTACTTTCAATAAAAAGTAACTAAGTAACGTAATTAGTTACTTTTTTATGAAGTAACGCAATATTGTAATGCATTACTTTTAAAAGTAACAAAATAAATAAATTAAATAAATATTAATTGCATACATGGATTTTGAATTGCACACCATGTTTCCAGATCTGTTGTATTTAAATTCTGTATACTATATGCTGGAATACACCCCAGGAGTAAAGTTGTCAAAACATAGAAAAACATATTTCTTAGAAATGACAGTATCCAGATAAGTGACTTTATCTTTCACTGGGATTTTTATTTATTTACAAACAAATGTCCTCAAATGAATTCAATACTTTATAAATGTCTAAAAACTAAACAAAGGTCTCACCTGAAATCAAATCTGACAAAGTAACAATGTCTAACAGTATTAATATTTGAAATGTGCCCAGCAAAAAACAGACTGGGATCTATTATAGCATCTTGTACATTCTTAAGACACTAAAAACAAAGGTGTAAAGGTTATAATTATTAAGACATATTGGGGTTGGAAAGCAGCATAAGGCTTTGAGTAACTGTAGGGGAGAGAGGCATTCATAATACTTTCTATTAAACATTTCAAAAGGAAAAGATTAATTTAGCAAACAATCTTTAAAATTCATAAGAAAACGGTCCACTCCTGGAAATGTGTTGAGTTTAAGAAGATTCAGTAACCTTGTCCAAATAACTGTTCCAAATAACAACAGTCTGCAGAGCCGTATGATAATCTCAACCATGAGCACCATGTTTTACCTTTAAGCACACTTTATGAAAACAAATAATTACATTGGCTGATGTATAACTAGGAATTAATGAATCAGATTAATAATTGATGCGCAGTAATAATATTAACAATCAAGAAATACATAAAGAATACAAAATACATTTACTTTGAGAACACACTTCTGGTACAGAATTGTTGAGGCAGCAACATATTGACAGGACTGACACTGTTCAAGTGTTTCAAGATCTCATTCTGTTATACAATAAGAACAAGCAGTGCACATTGTTTTCTGTCATTGTAAGAGTATAATGAGAGAGAGAATCTACAACAGAATATGTGATTGTGCATGACATGTCACTCACACTTCTGATGTGAACACTCATTTGTTAACATGGGTGCCGGAAAATATGGGCTGCTCAGATGCCACTGAAACTCGCTATGCAGGACCTTCAGTATGACACTTTTCCCTCTATATTGGAGCTTGATGGCTTTTGTTCCTGCAAAATTTGAAATAGAGTGTAGACAGGGCAATTATTAAAGTTATTAAAGTTAAAAGACAAACACAGATTAATAATGTCTTTATCCAGTTTGACTGTGTTTCTGGTGGTACTTCAGTAGATTGGTTTCCAGTTTCTACTGTTGATTCTGCAACAAAACAAGTTCATAAAAAAACACTATTACTACACTGTGATAAAGACAACAGATCCATCATTTATACTGTATACAGCAGCATTTAGACTAATTTTATTTAAAACCTCAATAAATTATTTTACACACCATTAATGAAGAGCCATACAGTCTCCTGATTAGAATAAGATGAGTGTGTGATGAAGCAGTTGAATTCTCCTGCATCAGCTTGAGTGAGATTGTTGAGTTTGATGGAGAAGTTTCCTCTCTTATACTCCTCTGGGAAAGTTTGCGCTCTGTTCTTGTAACGTGGGTCCTGTGTCTCTAATGAATCTTTACCTTCAATTAAATCATAAATAGTCTCACTGTCTTTGTCTCTCCAAAGCACATGCATGTCTTGAGGTTTAAGATCATGTTGAATTGAAGAACACGGCAGGACAACAGAACTGCCAGTAAAACCCACTACTTTGACATCCAGAGACACTGAAATGACAGAAACTGTAATTGTAAACACACAATCTGACATTTATACATGTGACATGAATTTATCATTCAAATTTAGTTCAGATGCTCACCTTTGTTTATCAGCACTGCAAACACACAGATGAAACACCAACTGCAGAAACAGAACAAAACAAAAACAAGTTTAACTTCCTTGATCTCAACCAGTAGATCATGACATTGTTTGAGATGAGCAGAACTGATCACAAGTGATCATGCCAATTAGAAAAGCTCTCTGACTTGCTGAAATGTCAATATTCTCACAACACTAAAAGCATAATGGGAAGTGACTGCCGTTAATAACGCACATCGGCTTGCTGCAAACTTAACACACATCAGCTTAGAACAATAACACAATGTAACAAAAATCTGTTTCACTTAATTTTTAATGTTTCTTCTGTAATTATGTTTTGCTAATTATTATTGGACTATTTATTTATTTAGTAGCATCAATATGTTGGTAAATATTCAGGTCAGGTACATTTAAGCATCTTTCATTAATTATGAAACATTGGTATAGTACAGAAATGCTTTTGTGCTAATACTGAAAGTTTTCTAAAGATATTTTGCTTTTGCAAGGATGTGAACATTCTAGAAGTTTCTGTCACATTCTAGAATATTATGTAATAATCTAGTGCTTTTTGGAACATTCCAGAACATTGTGGGACTAGTCATAAAAAAAGACAAATCATCCAACATATACTTCTGAAGTTTTGGACGACCCACTTTTGGAAACTGTTTATGTTAAATTGTTGTTAGCTCAGTATTTTGCATGTGCCATGCAATTTCTATGCATGAGTAATAACAGATTAGCTTGTAAAAGTTGTCAACATATATTTTGTAGTTTGTAGTTAATGATACACAAAAAAATTTTTTTTGACCAAATGTGATTTTCATATGCAGCATGACAAACTTCACAAAGAAACAATTAAAAATAAAGGCAAAACAAAACAAACAAAACTTGTAAATATACAAAATGTTTATACAAAAATGTATACATATGCCAGCTGTAAATTGTCACTAAATTGTCCAAATGCACCAATTCGCAACCAAATTAACAACATTTACAATTTCGCTTAACAATATACAATATATTGCATAATTATCCTGTAGATGTTGTAGAAACTGTAAACATGATTTAGCAGTAAATGTTGTTGTGCATAAAGGAGCATTTTCACCCATCTTATGTATTTGGTACAATATCATCTTAAATGCACTATAAGACGCAGTCAATCAAACTACTATCAAATAAAAATAACTGCACATGCACCGGGACTAGGCCTGTCTTAATAATCAATATATCGACTTATCAATATATGTACATGAACTCAATAATTTTTGGTGACACAATACATATGTCACCGTGTTTTGTACATTCCACTTGCGCCTGTGTCTTTTGCAGTTTCTCGTACATAACATGGTGTAGTCATGAGGTGCTCGTTCACATTTTAAAAGTGCTTCTACAAACAAAGTTTCATCTGCAGATTTGGCCTTGTTTAGGGATCTGTGCCTTTGTGCATACAGACATCTGACTGCTAAGTAGGGATTGTGTTTGTCAGCAATAGTGTGCACCCTTAATTTACAGAGAAAAGAAGGACAGGGGAAAACCTGTAGATGGAAAAATCTCCATAAAAGTTCTTTGTGCATTTTTCCTTTTTTCTACTTGTTACTTTGCACTTTTTGTTAGAAAATGTTTATTTACTATTTATTCAGGTTTTTTAAGGTATCTAATATTTTGATACTTAATTTCTATGATCTAAATATTCTTAAAAATTAAAAGTTCATTTGGAAGTGTGTAGGCCTTCTTGCATTATTATGCGGTTACATTATGATTATATATTCAGTGGCATAAAATGGTCTTTAAAATGACAATAATATAGCTTATCGCAATTATTTCTGGGGCAATATATCGCACAACAAAAAGTTGTTATCGTGACAGGCCTAACCGGGACACAAAAAGACAATACAACACGCTAATGCTAATGGCTAAATCAGAATAATCGTTTCAGCTATTTCTCTGGGTATTAACCTGTAACTAGGTAAGTAATCAACCCATAATCAATGTATTAATGATGTTGACAGGTGCTGTCTATTAATGCTAGTTTAAGTAAGGAACAAAACAAATCAGGCCAAATACTAAAGCGAGCGCAAACCTGAGCACTTTTTTTTTCATGTATCGCGGCAGGTCAGAACTGAAAGTACGGCTGTGATGGAAGTACGACTCGTTTTGTAAAAACAAAATTTCGTTAATAAATCACGAACATACCCGATGATCATGGTGCTCCGATATAATTAATATATATTTTACATAAATAACGAAATAACACTTAAATAAAACAGCATATGTTAAACTCTAAACCTGAACACATTTCCGGGTTCTCTGTATGACTTCCGCAGTCGTCATATCCAGGTTAAGACTAGAAGGGATACAAAAGGCGCTACTGGGCATGCGCACATCAATACAGCGTAATTTTTGTCACACTATACAACAATAATTACTATTTTTGCATTATTGTAAGGGGTAGGTTTAGGGTTGGGGTAGGTGGTCCGTGTACAGTCCATGTACTTTTGCGTCCATTCGTTTTTTAAGCATGACGAATTTAAAAAAAAAAAGGATGGTAATTGTATTTTTAAATGCTATGCTGAAAACCAAAATTGAAATTAGAACCGTACACACAAAACTAATCCGTGTATCATTCGATCATTAGTTTTTTGATTTAATATTGAAAGTAGAAAAAAGAGAAAAGGCTCCTTTTTCGTTTTTTTTTTCTTTTCTAAAAAACGAAAAACCAGATTTCAGCTTAAATTTTCGTTTTTCGTTCATGGGTGGAAAAATGAATAAACAGCTTGAATATTCGATTTCTACACGTGGGCGGAAAAAACGCCCCTTTCTGCTGATTGGTCAGCCGAAGATCAAACCGTGCCTTCATCAGTTCTTCTGCAGTATCACGCAGCAGAATAATAGTCCTCCACTGCTGCAGTTGTACGGATTAATAAACCATTTGATCAATTTAATATTTTTCTCATCAAACAGACTAATGAATAGCTCAGCTCTTTCTTCTGTGTAGACCAGCGGTTCTTAAAGTGATAGGGGGTCCGAGAAATAATTTGCTATAGCCTAAAGTATTTCCAGACTGTAAAGTGTTTTTTTATCATAATACATAGGCCTACTGTGATTTATTCCAAAGTGACTTATATGATGCATTTAACGTCAAATAATCTAAATGAAGCCTTTTAAAAGACAAGTATTTGCTGTGGTTCATGTTTGTGGCATGCGCCAGAAAGATGCTCAAGGAGACCGAGACGCGCTAAAGCAGCGCATTCTGTTGTTCTCTTTATTTTTCAAAGGCATGACATTTTGTAGTTATTTTGAACATAACGTTACACAATTAAAAATATAAATTTTACCATACTACTATAAATGACAGAGTATTAAGTTATTTCCCCTCGATGGGGAAAAAAATCCAAGTGAACATCAATCAGTTCTCAATAGTAATCAAACAGTTGGTGGTTGCCATTGATTTCCATAGTATTTTTTATTCCTACTATGGAAGTCAATGATAGCCACCAAATGTTTAAAAAGTATGTAATAAAACGTCTCAGGTTATGTATGTAACCATGGTTCCCTGAGTAGGGAATGAGACACTGCATCCTCTAGGGCAGGGGTTTTCAACCTGTGGGGCGCGCCAGCACCTGTCAAGGGGGGCGCGAGCATCAGTTAATTCAGAGACGTTCCCTTGAGGATTTATGAATATGAGTTAACAAATCTTTAGCCATCCACTAGGGGGCAATCTGACTCCCACTGCTAGTCGACAGTTAGAGCAGAGTTGGCTCGAGTATCAGTCATGCTCAGTGTTGCCAAGTCTGCGGTTTTCTTGTGGAATTGGGCTACTTTGCAATGGGGAACACCTTGTCGTGACCCGTGTCTGAAGCATACTTTGAAAAAACACCAACAACACATTGGCCGGCGACAGCCATGACATCACTACATGCGACTATAGTATAAATAGGTGCTGGGAGAACACAACATCCACTTCTTCGTCTGAAGCTTGCGTCCGAAACATGGCAAGAAACCTAGAGGACGCAGTGTCTCGTTCCCTACTCAGGGAACCATGGTTACATACGTAACATGAGACGTTCCCTTTCATGGGAACTTTGAACTGTGTCCTCTAGGGGTCGCTATGGGGAACGTTATACCCACGCCACCATGCTGAGGGGAGTGCATGCCAGAAACCATGGCGAGCACTAAGAACCAACTCTACCATATTGCCATGGGAGTTGCCCCTGGGACGTTAGACGGCTGTCAGTGACATTATTCCCTATGGCCAAAGACCTAGGCTACATACCCCAAAAAACGTACCTGTTAGGGTCAGAACTCCTTGGCCCGGGGTAGAGCTCAAGGCTTGGAATCAGGAATAGATTTCTTTAAGGGAATACGACCAAGAGCCTAGAATCATACTAAGTCTTGGCCTGTCACACAGGGGCTACCGCACGCTCTGCATATGCTAAAGGAACTGTCTCAACAGACCCCTAGTAGCAACACCCTGTTAAAGTTGGTATCCAGAGGATTCATAGGTGGAGTGGTGCCCAAGGCGGAACCAGGGTTTTAAACCACTCAGAAAGAGCACGAGGCTGCTGTGCGTAGCTCTTACCATACAGGATTTTAGAAAAGAACGCAGAGTACTAGCGTGCAAATTTACCACAGTGTGGATTTTAGAAAGTGTACAAAGACTTCACGTGCACACTTGCCATAACATGGATTTTAAAAATACCGTTCTAAGGGGTTCTCGAGTCACTCTGAAAGAGCAGCCCATAGATGGAAATGGTGCATCCCAAAACGCTATGTTTGAGAAGTTATCAACTCGATCTAAGGCTTATAATGCTGGATTAGCTAGCAGTAAATCTGTAGCTGAGGGAGCAAACATCCAGCTCTCAATCGAGAGGGAGCTCGACCTACAGCATGTTCCAATGCTGGAACGGCTAGCAGTAGTTTACCTAGGCTGAGGGAGCACAAACCCAGCTCTCCCGAGAGGGGGCTCGACCTGCAGCATGATTATAAAATCAGAAGGGTAATCATACTGCAAGCTAGCCAAACACTCATCAGGGAGGCAGATGAAGGGCCTAATCCACCTGATACTGCTGGTTCCAGGTGCTCTGGAAAAACAGAGAACTCAACTTCTTATGTGAGACGAGAACTCCGAATTCAGAGGAAATAACGTTGCTCATTCCAGGTAACCCTTTGATAAAAGGGGAGCACTGCTCAAACTACCATGAGGACAGCCCATGGAGCGAGGAATCAAACTCCTCACAGAGGATTAATGCTCGAAAGAAAGCACCATACTCACAATAACCCTTATGCTTCCAGAGTGTGTCGACAGAGACACACTAGTTGAGTGGAGCCCAAGGAACCGGGGTCTAACCAACTCAGAAAACGGGAACGAGGTCAATAACGTGTAACCCTTACCATACAGGATTTTAGAAAAGTGGGCAAAGCATAACGTGCACACTTACCACTTATGTGGATTTGAGAAAAGTGCGCAAAGCTTAACGTGCTGCACTTATTTAGTTTTCCAAGCATCTGTTACAGATACCCGGAAGTACTGGGCCAAACGGGAGAGGCAAGCTCAAATACAACCCTCAAAGAAGAGGGAAGCACTGCCCAAGACAGCATTTACATAGGAAGGTTTTCTCGTAATGCCACCTATGCCTCCCGCTCGATGCCTCAGCAAGAGGGGATATCCTGGTGATCGGGGAAACCCCTCAGGGCGACCCAGATATGGTAGACCAGTCAGGGTAGCATGAAAGCGTAACCCCAGCCAACTTCCAGGAAATTTTTGCAGTGATGTGCCGGGGGCCTGATGAACACCAAGGCTCCCGCAGAAGCCTGTGTTATGGCCGCATGATCCAGGAAGTATGAAGCCGAAAACCGGCTTTACTTACCGTCTGGACATATATCGACGAGTGAAATACGCACTGCAAGTCGAGCACCCGGTTTCTGAACCCAGCAGAGGGGGTG